TTCGGTTCGCGACCAGAGTCATGGAACGAATTAAGTTCGTGAACCGAGGTACCACTGTAATACAGTTTCACAAATGCATTCATACAGGTCAGCCAATGCAAACACAGATTTTACAGTTCATGTTAATCTCTTTGAGCATTATCAAGCCCCACTTGATATAAAAAAATTGCACATTGTGTGACAACCACCATCATAGTAGATACCCCTGAATCCAAAGTCAAAATCTCTCTGTCTCTGCCTACTCAACCCAGGAATTTTGCTCAGCAGCACTCTGAGTGGAAACTTTGTTCAAGTTTTCTTTAAGTTTCTGAAAGACTGGAAACAAAAATCTATACCAATTGTATTAGGGGGAGACTAAAACCCTGAATTTTCACTGATGTAATTAAAGGCCTTTAATCATTCACTTTCTATTGCTCAAGAAATAGGACAGCTGCTGGACTGTCCTTGACAAAAATAAAACTGAAAAAATAGAAGAAAAATGACCCCGGATTGTAAAGAAAGAACATGAGTTCATTTAGCTGCCAGTAGGAAGGAGCAAGGAGTTTCAACAATGCAGTAAAAACAAAAATAAATAAGCAATTCATTAAAAATCCAAGTCACTTCTCTGGAAGTCTTCTCCTCTCCCTGGCCTGAAATCAAGCATAGTTCCTCAAGTCTTGTGGATTTATTCTCAGCCATCAGTGGCCAAAATTATGGAGGCCCCAAAGATCCCAACGTTCTGGCCAATCAACTTCATTTGATTCCAGAATTCAACTCTGCGAGAATCGTGCCAGTAGCCCAGATTGCCATCAATGAAGAGGATGATCAGAGGGAGAATTACCGACAGGATCTGAGCAGCTGTGGTGATGTAATAACCAGACAGAAAGGAGAGGGCAAGGACACCATAGAGAATGAAGAGAAGCTGTAAGATGATCTCCCCACCCAGGATACCACCAAGATAGGCCAGGCGGTCTTCTTTGCTGTGCTGAAGGGAGTAGGCCTGAAAAGAATAAATTGGAATGTTGGTTTACAGCAGCCTTTAGCCTAACAGTTCTATAAGGTGTGCCTTTGGGGAGGCGGATATAAACTTCCTATATAATTTCTATCTCTCCAACCACTACTGCTATGCTGGACTATTAAGGGGATTCTGCAGAAATCCACAATGAATTTATTAACCTCCAAGTGGGACACAAATGTATCTGTCTATTATTTGCACTTTTTTTTTTCAGGGTCAGATCTGCTCATGTTTTTCCCCATAGTTGGCTGACCACATTTCTCAAGGTATGTTCTCATAAGACCGGAATGATGGATCCTGCCCAATTTCAACTGAAGACAGCTGCAGAAATAATTTTGGAAAGTCAACAGTTTTTTATTCTAGATGAAATTATTGCTTATACTCTCTCATCTTAGCAAGCATTATACAGTGCAGGATCTCAGAAAAAAAGGGG